TTTTCATTTGTACTAGTTCCCTTATTTTCTTAAAATTATTGATCTTAAAAGTATCAAGAAGGTTAGAAATCAGGTGTCAGAGGCTGTGACTTTTTATTTCAGAAGGATTAGCTCTGCCCCAGGCTACAGGTAACCTCTTCCTCAGACAGGTATCTTTGTCAAACATCTGCATTTGCCACAAGAGAATGATTTCAGATCAGCTAAAAGATCCCAGTATATGAAGCCATATCATTCTCTCCAGTTACCTGTTTCCAAGATGCCTAAGTTTCCTGCTCAGAATTACCTTTTCTTTTTGAAAGCTCCATTCCTTTAATTCTTAATGCCATCCCCGCAACTAAGCTCACAGTAGCTGACCCTCAGCTCTGCTTAGAGCAAAATCACATTCATACTTGGTGTTATAATTTAGACAAATATTAAATGCATTGTGAACTCTTTATGTGCTTGTTTAGCTGACAACCAAGAACATGGAGACAGGCATCAGTGGTTTCAATCGTTTAAAACCACATCGCCTGGCAGCAGCCAATGTAAAATCTGGGATTTTTTGCATCACATGGCAACTGGTTTTGATTGCTTATTTTGTTAGGCCTGCTGTTGCTCTGAGCCTTCTTTGCATTCTCACTTTCTCTTATGCAACAAACAAAAATACGTATAAAAATGCTCTTTGGGAATAATGCCATGACAAAGCATCACTTACTCCCATTGTTCAGTGTCACCTGGAGAACAGAATAAAGCCAAATTCTTTTTACCCCACCAAAATTGTACTTGTCTCATTTCATACCTTCGCAAGCAGTCTGTGAGAGTGGTGGTGCCCGATACATGGCTTTCCCCATTTACGACACTGCCATCACTCCCTGGACTCAGTGGCCAGAACGGGGTGGAGGAGCCTGGCAAATCCAAACTGATGTCCCAAAATGGGTCTATCGTTGTGGAAACGCCACTATGAAAAAGAAAGTTTAATAAAAGTTTAAAGGAAGTAAAATTAACAGTCTCTCTCACTGTAGGATGCACACGAGATACTTTTAAGAACTATGGGGATCTACATCACCCCTAGAGGGCACTCAAAGATGCCAGAAAATATAGTTGCTCCAGCGTGTTTTCCCACAAGGGATTGTTTTTCTGCATATTTAAAAGCCAAACGTTTTAGGAAATGTATGTGATGTACTAAATGCAAAATATAGGCATTTAATACATTCTCCCACTCACTGGAGCCCTGTGACTCAAAGTGCACATGCAGGGTTACTCAGAGATAGAGGTGCTGGCCATACTCCTGACCAGTATAAACCAGCTAACACCTCTCCCAATAGGTACGTGCATGCAATCCAACTAGTTTAGAAACACGGTTCTCTGCTCAAAACATGGAAGATGGTGCTCAGGACTACTTCAATAAAGAGAGCTCCAAATACTTCTGCTATACACTAATGCACTGAAGTAAGCTTTGCAGTTCATATTAGCATCTCTTACAGCATTTGGAATTTGAGAGGCCAAAGAACAACTGTATCAAGAAGTAGCGTATGTTCTCGATCAGATTTCTCTACAAGACAGCTGAAGACAAGCCAACAGCTAAACTATGGAAAAACCTTCTCAAAATTTTAACTTGTGTTGACTCAAATCTTTTCTTCCAGCATTTACATTTTTAAGAGAAGTCCAGAACTTCAGAGCTCTAAGCTCCTAGTTTGGAAGCGTTTTCTGTTTGCATTCATAACTCTTAATTTTTTGAGTTCTCTCTTCCTCTAAAACTAGTGTCTTTCACTCTGCAATCTCATTAAGCTTACAATATTCTGCCTTTTCTCCAGCTTGATTTGTGCAAAAGTTGTCAATTTTCAAAAGAAAACTTCTTTTGTTGAAGTTTCATCAATGCTAATATTGTGTCATAACACATCAAGCTTTTATTATCATATAAGGATTCCATGGCTCTACGAGGCAAAGAACAAAATTTCATACGTTTGCCTTACAGTAAATCTTCTGCAAATCTCTCCAGGAAGCTGAGAATAAAAGCAGATCCAAACAAGCACAGCACAACAGTCCATCTGCGGGACGGCGTGCGTAATTATAAAGAATGCAAGACAGAACAAAAAAACAAGAACTCTGACTTCTGCACTATGGCAACACCAAACATCTTGAAAGAGAAGTCATCTTGCTCCAGTACACAGAGCAGAACAACAAATACATTTCTCCTGACTCTTGTAAAACATTCCCTTGCTGGCACCTGAGATTATATTTGTATCAGCCTCTTTGAAACCTCTCCTGATGATACACGAGGCTCCTAACTGAAGGAAAATATGGCTGCACATCAGAATATTCTTCAAATGTAGCAGCAATTACATACTTTCAAAACCAAAGATATCTTGGAAGTCTTTTCCTTATGAACTTGGGAAAGACCAACCTCTTGCAGACTATGTTTGTAAGACTAAGTTTATGTCCATAAGCCTGTGGTACTTTCCAGGTAGCTTTTTTGGTATGTCTTAATATATGACAGTTGAATAGTAATTAATTGCATTTAGCTGATCCTGTATTTAAACAGTTCTTGTCTTACTGGAATTTCGCTGCTATTTTATCGGTATTCAAGAAAGAAAAGATTCAGTACACTGTTGCACTGGAGGGTGTACAGCTTCAAATCAGAAAAAAATTACTTACTGGCAGACTTGACAGGTAACATCAGACTGCAGTCCGCCTGTGAAGATTTGGTCTATGATGCAGTTACAGTGGTTGGGGTTGTTGGCCTTCTTCCCATTATCATCACCTGGAGAAATGCAAACACAAACTCAGAAGTCAAAAATCCTCCTAGGGAACAGTGGTTTGTCTTGGACTGTCTCTCCAGTAACTCTTTATAAGGCAAATTTATAAACATACTGCAAGTTCACAGCGACAATATGGAACCCTAAAAATGTTGTGGATTAAAGAAAAACGAGGAAACAAGACGAGAATTCCTAGCAAAATACAGAATATAATCAGAACGTGATTAAATGCAGTTAACTCCTGCAGAGGTGAAGCTTTACACCGTATCAGCTGTCAGCCAACCCTTTTTCAGGGTATAGCATTATCTCCCTTTACAGAGATTTGCTTTGCACTATCTGGTGTAAAGATCAGTTCCTAAGACGAAGGAGATGCCAAAGTGGTTCATGAAAAAGACCATTTAAACTTCACTTAGGAGGGCCACCGTGAAACATTTGTATCTAAACAAATGGCCAGCTCTTTACCACAGAAGCACTAATTTCTGCTGAGGTGAAGCATTCAATAGCACATTACTTTCCTAAATGAACACAGAGAAGAAACGTCAGCAGATGCTACTTTTTAATTCTATCCCAGGCAACTTCTGAGAGTAGAGAGAGAGGAGGAGGTTTGTTAAGACCCATTAACCCCCAGCCTGCTGCCTGCATCCTGTCCTTTCAACATAAACATGTCCCTTCCGTTCAAGTTTTCACCAGTGAGAAAATGAAACATGTCCTTATCTGAAGTGGGAAGATAAGTGCTGTGTCTTCCTCCAGCTTCTTCAGAGACATGGCAATCCCCTAAGTTCCCAAGGGGCACAGTGAACACATACCCATCTTCTAGGCATTATGAACTGTCACTGCAAGTCTTAGAGGCACGGCAACTCATTTTTATGATTTGAAGTGCTGACATTAATACTCTGGTTAGCCTAAGAAGCTGATTTGGCCTAAACAACCAAAAATTTCTTGGCACAATTCTCAGCTTTAAAACATACTCCTTCCGTTCCCTATAGGTGAACTAGGAGTGATACTCTTTTCCTTTGATTTCTAAAACTGTACTGCTTATTTCCTTGGGTAGGATAGATGCAGTTGGGTTTGCTTTGTAAACAGAGATGCACATACAAACTCAATCACAGCAACAGCTAATTATTTTGTAAAGAACATCTTAAGATGTCTCCCAGTCTCCTACAACAGAAAGTGCTAAGACAGAATCAAGTTTTGCCAGATTTACTAGTATTTTTAACTTACTAGGAAGTATTTCAGTTTCAGAAATTAAATACCAAGATGCTGACTCCTCAAATCAGAGCTTATTACTCAAAAATAATTCATTTCTAGTCAAGTATGTCAAACACACACCTAAAGAAACTAAAAGCATACGGCAAAACCCCACCATTTTTCTCGCATCTAAGTTGATCTGGCTGGAGTCTTCCTCAGCAGAAAGCAATGCGATTTATTTTTTTTCCCTCCAATGAAGCTTTAGAAGTTTGTTGGAAAATATTATGCAAACTGACAGAGGTTCCACCTGATGATACTAAGTGTGGAAAAGCAGACCTAGGTGATACCTACTAAACTGCAATGGGCCACTTCAGTTAATTAGATCCTAAATGCCTCAGAAAAGCTCTCGCTCAGCTGCCCGCTTTAGAAACTTTTGTCTGAATTGCCAAGAAAAGCATATTGTTTCCTTAAAATGGCTCTTGAACAAAATACTCTAAAATTAGATTTCAAATGTACAAGGTTCAAGCTGGGGGTTATCGGACCCAATCTCAGGCATTTCTTGATGGGGATTTCAGCTAAATCTTACTGAACTTGAGATCTTTTTAAAGTCTCAATTATGCTAAGCTAATGAATAAAGCATACAGTATAGAGACTGTACAAGACATTTTTCACCTTTAGAAAAAGATCACTTATAAGCTTTAAAGACTACATGTGGATTTTCAAAAGAAGAATTTACTGGGCTTTATCCTTGTTTTTAAAACTCCACTTTTTCTTTTTAAAGGAAAAACATGCAACTGCCACATCCCTGTAATCTCACCCTTTGAAACATTATCTCCCCCTGTTTTGTTTTGAGGGGGCAGAAGCAGAGAAAAAATTCCACCGGACCACAGGTAACATCCCTGCTGGACACCTTTAACAGACAGCCATTTCCACCTACGGGAGAGAACGAGTACTCCCTTTTCAATTATACAAGTCAATTAGGGTGAGTGATGAGGGGTCTCAAAAGAATATCCTGTGAGCTTGTTCCCAGCAAAACAGAAGGGCATTACCCACTCAACATTATTTCCCATGACATTTGGTTGGAGAAGACGGAAAAAAAAAAAAGATTACCACCTACTCACACTTGTCAATATGTAACAGATGCTGAGAGGAGGTATATTATGCAGCTGAGAACTAGAAGCCGCTAGATTGCTGTGCTCAAGTTAAGGTTCCCTTCAACATTTCTGTCTTACAAAGTAGGTTTTAGTTTTGTACATTTTTGTTTTTAAAGCTGGTCATAATTCCGACTAGGGAAATTAGTAGCTTTTTGTAAGAGATTGGTCAGCACAAATCTAAAACCAAAACTGAAAATACATCAATGTATACACTAATGTAATTATGAGAATGGCAGAAAATTGAGTTTAAAAGTTTGGATTCAAATTAAATGCAACTCTTTGTAAAAGAAAAACAGAAGTCACTACTGCATCTGTGCAATAACTGAGCATATTAACTTGTGTTCAAACACATACGCATTTAATATACTGCTAAAGGTAAATCATACGTAACAACCCTAAGAACAGCTATAGATTACTTTTTAATATTGCTGTTGGTTTTGAAATAAAGAAGTTTTGCCTCCAACTTCCATTATGTATTTTAAATAAGAAGGAATTAAAAAATTGCCAGATTTTAAAAGGTGCATTTATCAAAACAATACATTATGTTAGCTTTCTGCTTTACTTCAGCCCCCACTGACCTGAACATGTGCTCGTTATTCTTTATGACAAAGCAGTGTACACATAAATTTATATGGATCATAGCAGATGACATGTTTCACAAGCATATGCTTTATCAGTTCCTAAGAATATCATGCAGAATTCACAGAGCAGGATAGTGTTTTAGTCCCAAATCTCAGCTCAGCATCCTCTAGCACCAGGCTTTAAATTTGCTTTCTAGCGGTCCTTGTTAAAGATGAATGCAAAACGCTTCATGAAAACTACATAAATGAGGAATAATCAGCTTTAAAGTACTATGCTTTTTTTGTTAGACAGCTGAGTAACATTGGCTGAAGAAAGTTTGGGATAAAAATACAGGATTACTTCAATTTTTGTATCTTGCTTTTTGAGCCTCTGAGTACAAATGCCCATCTCTACCACTCTGCTGCTTGATTGTTGTTGCTCTTGCAATAAAACAAACAAACAAAACATACAGCCAGTGATTTCACTGGGCTGAACATTAACTTTTGAATTGCAGTCTTGCTCCATACAAGAAAATAACAATTCTGACCGAAGTTTCTCCAAGTTTGAGTATATCTGAGAAAGTTAGTAAACTACAAAGTGTTTGGATGACTGGAACCTTACTCTCATGGGAGTTTGCAGAATTAGAACCCTGAATTTCTTCCAGAGCACCGATAATTAAGATGTATCTGTCATGTTAACTAAAAGCTGACCTAATGCTTTACAGACCAGGCAGAAATACCCATTATTTACATTCCTTTAACAAATGAAGAGCCCTGGAATTCCTGAAGGATCCCACATGAAGAGTGGGGTTTACCTTTTAGATGTTCTTCACAGAAGATCTAATAACACACTCAAGAAGCAACATATTGATATCTGATCATTTTCAGCATCTTCTATAATCCAAACACATTCAGAGACCGAAAAACCAAAGTTGCCATGCATTTTAAAGATCAAAAGCAATACATACAAAGAAAGGGGCCACTACCTACACAGGAAGGCTGTTTATATCATAACTCTAGTGAAGAAGCTAGTATCTGATGTAGAGTAAGGTCCTGAATTTCATTTGGAAGCTTTTGCGGTGAGAAGGACCACAAAGGCAAATGTACAATGACACTGCAGAACTCTGAGAGCTATAAAACCAGCAAGAGAGACCAGAGCAGCACAAAATGCAGCTACAACTTTAAGTATCACTTATAGTAGCAATGTTGGAAAAGAATTCAGATTGAAGAAAGCTCTTGATTTTTTAGTTGGAGTATGCATTTAAGGACAGATCTTGTGCACACTTTGGGTGAATGGTAGAGAAAAAAAGAGTAATTAATAGCTTAGGGTTGGGTTTTTTTCCCCACCAAAATACTACCTTCCACTTAGTCCATCTTTCTCCAGCTGTTGGAATGAAAAACAGTGATGCATAGGCATAACAGACTGGATTCCTTTTATTCAGAAACATTTGATATTACTCCAGCAGCACAGAGGAGCCCTGTAAGTGCTCACAATATGCCCTGAACAGATGCCACAGCTCCACACAGCAGTGCTGGCACAGAGAGCCATCACCCCAAGACCTGATTTACACAGGTGATCATACAGGTATCCTGGGCTTCCAAAACTTCAGATGCCACTAACACAAAGTATATATTCAACCAGCCCTAAAAAACCAACCAACCAAAACAACACAACTACCTGGGCCAGCCAGCCCATATAATAAATCTCAGGACAGTTAATTTTACACTTCTTAGGATGCAATCTTACAAAACTTATCTTTAAATGCACATCAAAATCATGCATTTTTCCTAATTTAGGCAGTGACAGGTATCAATAACAAACATTCACAGCTTTCTCTGACTTGCATTAGGACACTTCCTTGAAAGTTGAGTAAATGGAATGGAAAATGGGTAAGTGACCAATGTCAGCCAAATACCACTGGATATTTATACAGTTCTTAGCATAAGGAACACTGATTTACTTTGGTGCTTGAAGCCTTGGTGAGCACAAATAATATCCAAAGCTAGGGGGTTTTGGACAAAATTTTCCCCATGACTTTATTTTACTTCACTGTGTGTTAATTGTAGAACTTGATTACTATTGACTGGAAGCTTTAAAAGGTTTTTTGATTCAGTAAAATAAATATTTAATATTGGCAGGGGAGGGCATTATTTGCTTATTGTACCTTTAGGACATATTCTCACTATTAGTAATAATATTTTACATATGTATACTTCACATGTGTGTCTGGTGTGCATACGTAAGTATGTAAGTGGGAGAACTTTCTTGTTACAGAGTAAACTAGTTTATTCCAAAAGTGGTTTATCATGACCATACTTGAAATTCTGGTTTAGATGAACTGGTTTGGTTCCCACACAACTGCTCAACCACTTCTTTTAAATTACCTTGATGTGGTACAGATTATTTAACCGTGGTTTAATAAAAGTCCATTTCTTCAGAAACAGAAATTTAAAAACCTAGGTGCACAGATGTCAAGGATCTAGTGCTAATGCCTTCCCACTAGTACCACTGCAACAGCTTAGTTATTGTCCATGCAAGAAGCTCAAACTTAAGGATATCCATTAAATAACTGAATTTCAGTCCTTGTATAGAAAGTAAATGGTACCTTAGCCACAACCCAAGAAAGCTCAGTACTAAAGGTGCAAAACTCCCTAATTCGATTCAAACCAGCTGAAACCATTATGAAACTTGCTACCAAGGCAGAAGTCAATGTTTTTAACACATCTGTGATATCCAACCAGCAGTAGAAGAATCCACACACGCATGCGCACACTCTT